AGAGACAATGACACCACATTCTAGGAGCGGATGAGCAGCTGCCACAAACCTGGCCACCAATTCAGTTTCATCAGAATCGGACAAAGTCAGGAGAGGGTGTTGAACACTCTAGATCATAATCCAAAAGCAAAGGGAACAAAATTGATGGACAGTAAGACCCCCTCCCCAGAGGCCCTGAAAGTATATACCGTATTCCTGCTTTTCGAAAGTTTGCTTTACATCATTTCGCTTTTACAAAAGACCTACATTAGTACCTGTTTCCGCTAACCGAAAGAAGTCTGAAGAGGATTTTCACTTTCACAAAAAAAGGCAAAAAGCGGAAATAGAGTTCCCGTTTGTTTTGCAGCTAGCCGTTAAAGAGGCAGCATGCCTGCTCCCGGATCAGTGAGAGTGGAGTCGCCAGGCTCCTCCCAGCGAGCTACTCAGCATCAGGTCGCCATAGCTTTGAACTGCGTGTGAGCACCTGCGCTTTATCTCGATTTCTTTTGTGCATCCATTAGCGAGATGTGTCCTAAGGTATCAGAAAGCCTAACAGAGCACATAAGGGTTTTATGTGTTATTTGGTATGTTATTTTTGGGGTCTGAGAATGCTCAAATATTTTTCCCATATAAATTAATGGTAATTGCTTCTTCACTTTACATCATGTCAGCTTGTGAAAGGTTTCATCGCAACATTCCACTTTCAAAAAGCAGGGGAAACCTGTATATTAAAACGGCTCGTTTTCCAGCCCCACATCCTTCAAGCCCTCCCCTCGACCACCCCCTGCCGCTCACTCCATCTGCTCTCTTTGCACATGGACTCGCCCGTCTTCAGGCCTCTCCCAAGTGTCACCTCCTCAAGTGACTCCTCTCCCAGTCTCTGTCACACCTCTCTTACTGTAGTCATTACAATTAGCAATTATTATCTGCCTCTCCATTCCTCATCCGCAGCTGTTACGGACAGCATTCTGTCCCCCCAAAATATATGCTGAAACCCTAACCCCCGTGCCTATAAATGCAGCCCTGGTGGCGTAGTGGTTAAGAGCTCGGCTGCTAACTAAAAGGTTGGCAGTTTGAATGCACCAGCCAATCCCTGGGAACCGTATGGGGCATTTCTACTCTGTCCTATAGGGTCATTAAAGTTGGAATCAACCAGATGGCATTGGGTTTTGTTTTGGAGTACCTATAAATATGACCCTGTTTGGAAATAGGGGCTTGCTTTTGTTGTTGATGTTGTCGTTTCTTTTATTGATTTAGGACCCATAGTAGGGTGGGTCCTAAATCAAGTCACTTCTGAGTTAAAGAAAGAGCAGTCTAGACACAGAGAAGGAGCCCTGGTGGCGCAACAGTTAAGCACTCAGCTGCTAACCGAAGGTTAGTGGTTTGAATCCACCCAGCGGCTCTGCCCAAGAAAGATGTGATGATCTGCTCCCATAAAGATTACAGTCTAAAAACCCTATGGGGTAGCCACAAGTCAGAAGTGACTGGACAGCACCTAACAACAATGACACAGAGACACGCACAGGGAGAAAAGGAAGACAGCAGAGGAGACGGAAACATCTACAAGCTCAGGAATGACAAGGATTGCTAGCAGCTACTAAAAGCTGAAATATACAAGGAAGGAGCCTCCCCTAGAGCCAGGCCCTGAACTTGGCCTTCCAGTCTCCTGAACTGGAAGCAAATAAATTTCTGTTCTTTAAAGCCACCCACCTGTGGTATTTGTGTTATGGCAGCACCAGGAAACTAAGATGCTAACTAAAATCTAAACTCCTCAAGGACAAGGCTTTTGCTGGTCTTGTTCCCCCACAAATCCCCAATGGCCAACAGACCACCCAAGTGGTACCAGTGCTTGACTGAAGGACATTGCCCCAACCACACACAAACACACATCCCGACCTCTCTTCCAGGCTCCAGCAGTGTAACAGGTGTTCAGAGACCTGTGCTGCCCCGCGCCTCACCAGTCCAAATGGAGATGAGCTCTAAGACTAAAATACATACCAGATTCTGAAGGCTTAGTAACAAAAAACTAAAATATCTCATTAACAAATTTTTATATTGATTTCCACATTTAAAATTATGCTATCTTGGATATTCTGGGCTAAGTAAAATATATTCTTAAAATTAATTTCACCTTTTTTTTTTTTTTTTTTAACGTTTTAATATGGCTACCAGGAAATTTTTAATTATTTAGGTAGCTAAGTTGTACTTCTATTGGGCAGCGCTCTTGTTAGTCAGTCTTGGTTATAATAACACGAGGAAAAGCCAGCCAGCAACACGGCCCAGCCCTCGCCCCCTCACCTCACACAGTGCTGCCACACGCTCTTCAGAGCACGGCAGGAAACACCTGTCCCGCTTGCCTCCTGTGACACACAAATATTTAAATGTATTCAGAAATGCGATTAGGAAATCAGGGCTAAAAAGAGTTTATCAGATGAACCAACTGTACCTCAGAATGTAGGCTGATCTTAATCATGACTCAGAACAGTGCCCAGCACATAGTAGGTGTGCAAATATTGCTGAATGAATAAATCGACCCTTTGCAAAGGAAAAAAAAAAACAAACTCCAATTTGTCTATTCATTTGGAGAGTTCCTGGGTGGCACAAATGGCTATGTGCTGGCTGCTAACTGAAAGGCTGGAAGTTCAAGTCTACCCACAGGCACCTTGGAAGAAAGAACCTGGAGATCTGTTTCTGAGAAAATCAGCCATTGAAACCCTATAGAGCGCAGTTCTGCTCTGACACACACAGGGATTACCATGAGTCAGAAATGGCTTGATAGCAACTGGTTTGCTTCTTGGTTTTCCTATTTATTTGGGATGGTAGAATATAAAAGCTGGAGGGGATCTGGAAAATGCATGGGTGTAGGTCAGGAGACCCAGTTTGCCACATTGCTGAACTGTGAGACGCTGAGCTTCACGTTCTCACCTGGAAAAGAGGTAGGCTCTGCCTTTCCTACCTGTCAGGTTAGTGCCATCTGATAGAACTTTCTACAATGATGGAAGTGTTCTCTGCTCTGTCCAATACAGTAGCTATTGAGCTCTTGTAATGTGGCAACTGTGACTGACGAATGGAATTTTTAATCTTTTAATTAATTTAAATTCAAATCGTCACATGTAGCAAGTGGCTACCATCTTGGGCAGCCTAGCTCTAGGTTGCTGGGTCAGGATGGAATGAGATAAAGCTTGTAAAAAAACACTTTGTAAACTCCAAAGCCCTATAGAAAGAAATGGCATGGGTTTTGTTGTTGCTGTTTGTTTAATATGTACTCCTCACTTATCAACTATCTCATTATCCAACATTTCACATTTACAACAACAGTAAAAAAAAAAAAAATCTACTATCCAACTATTTTGCGCATCAGTGACGTACGTCTGGCAGTAATGAACTCCAAGGTGCAAGGCGAAAGTAATGCTGGCTGTGATGGCTATGGTTATGCGTGAACTTGGCTGGGCCATGATTCTCAGTGGTTTGGCAGTAATATAGTGATGTGATTTGGCAGTTACATAACATGTAGTCATCCTCCATTTTGTGATCCGATGTGGTCATCCTCCGTTTTCGCGTAACACTGATTTTTGCATAACACTGATTTTCGCATAACAGATTTTCGCATAACAACCTGATCTTTGAAAACTAACCATGTAGATAAGTGAGGAGTGAGTGTCTTAGAAATCTGAGATTCAGAGAGGTTTCAGTTGCCCAACATCACAGAGTCTCAATTCATCGTAAGTGAAAAAAAAATGTAAACAAACATGATGATTTTACTTCATTTTGGGGAGAACGGCAGCTGGTTTCATGGATAACCCTTCACAGAACTCAGAACACCAAGCTTTTCAGTCCAAATTTCATCCACATTTGGTACTTCCAGGGCCTAGACATGCAGTCAGAACTCATGGCTGCCAGTGTATTCTTGGTTGATTATATTCCTATCTTCCACGCCCTGACTCTTAGGACTGGCGACAAGCCCATGTTTCCTGCCCTTCCTGTTGACCTTTCTTGCCAATTCTTCTTCTACAGAAACAGGTCTTCCAAACAGCTCCCTACATGCCTACAGCTCATTCTGACAGTCATTCACAGGCTCTCAGATACACAGTAAACCTGCGAAAGCCAGAACCTGTGTAAGGCGGAAACCTGTCAGACAAGGAAAACTCAAATATTTTCCATTAATAGAAAGCGACAGAAAAGTAGTAGGATTGCACCCTGTCAAAGGCGGAAAACTTGTGAGACCCAGAAAAACAACACAGTCTGGTTGAGTCCCAGCTCTCACAGGTTTCACTGTATACAGAGGTTGTTCAAATTTGCTGACGGATGGTAAAACCAACCACTACTAAACAGGGGTAAGGACTAATTGGTAGCTGTGAAGAATGCTAATCTATTTATACTCAGGTTGGAAAAATGCTCATGAAATTCAAATCGAGCTCGCCTCCCAAGATTTTTCATAGCAGGAAGGCCTTTCTCAGTGTAAACAGCCTTCCCTTACCATTAAGATAATTATATTCTACACACAAGTAGACAATAAAGAAATAAGCAGGTAAGTGGAAAGGAGCAGGGAGTGAATTATTAGGACAGCAAAGTCAAAAAAAAAAAAAAAAAAAATGGTGTAAGTCTGAGGAAACACCAAACAGTTCCAAGTACAAATGGAAGGAACCACCCTAAAATATTTAATTAAGAGATTTTGTGAGCTCATTCATTACAAAGAGTTCAGCTAATATTCCCCTCAGTCCTTTCAGCTTTTCCACAGACACATTAAATTTGGGTTTTAAGCATGTGTAATACGCTGCACAGCCCTTGGTTTGGCCCCATGGAGCTTCCATAATGAAAAACAACATGTGAAATTGGATCCACATGCGTTTGGCCCACTGGTTGGGCTCAGTGGTGTATTTTACCCTGACAGACAGCGAGGCTGTTGCTCAACTCCCAAGGACGGGCCTCCAGCAATAACCTCCAGCTACTGAAACAAAACCAACTGGCCAGGAGTAGTGTGACTGCCACCCCTTCAAGAGGAGGGACTCAGCTTTCTGTACCTCAAGTTCAGTCTCCCGCCTGTTGATATCGTCCGTGGATTGATTCAACTTCTCCAGTTCTCCCTAGTGAAGAAGAGAGGGAGGAAAAAGATTTGAGGGATCAGGCTTCTGTTTCCAATATAACTCAGCCCATAACCTGAAAAACTACCCCAGCCCAATTTGTAGGAAGAGGGAAAAGCTGGTTTTAATTTTCAAGGAAAACAGCTGACCTTGAGCTGGAGGAGCAAATGAAATGTCTGTATTTCTGAAATCTTTATCTTGACGGTATCTCTTTTAAAAATGACTTAAAGGCCTAGGAATTATTTCTCTTTTCTGATAAGGTCAAATATTTACTCCAGGTATGTGCCTCCAGGTAAACCTACCTCATTACAAAGGGTTCAGCTACCAAATCAAAACAGTAACCTCTGCCTTAGAAGGGAGAACTTCGCAGGAAAAAAAAAATCAATAAAAGAAAATAAATCAGCCCGTGCTAAAAGTATAAACCATTGAAATGATTTAAATCAAGGAAAGATTTCTGTCATTAACACATCAGTGGTTGAACATTTTTCTACAAAGAGATGAAAATCTTCTTTTTTCAAAACTGCCAATTATTCAACCTACCTAGCTTTTTTCTTTGTATACTAGCTTTAATCCCAGTCCTTCAAATAAACATTTACAACCAACATTTGTAAAAAGTACCCAGTTTGAAGTTAACTCATCTTTACTCTGGAAACAAAGGATCATGCTAACAGAATTCCCTAGCAAGAACACAAGATTTAGCCCAAACTGATGATTTTAACTAATAGGATCATTCCTAATGCGAAGATTTTTCCACCTGATCTTTATCTTGCTAATCTGCCAAAACAATTCATTTAAACCCCAACCACTGGGTTAAATGAGGTTTTAATTGATCTATGCACTGAAAAACCAATTAGGGCTCCAGAGATTGCATTGCATGCTTAAAAAGCAATATTTAAAAAAAAATGATTTATGGAAAGGGAAAAAAAAAAAAAGGGCGTCTTGGAAAAGAGATTTGCTGTGTTTTTGCTTAGAGGGTGGAGAGGTTAAGCTGTCACTCATAGATTTCCGCTTGAAAATTGTTTTTTAATCATCCCTCTAGGAAAAGAGCCCTGGTGGCGCAGTCTTCGCTGAGCTGCTAATCGAAAGCTTGGCAGTTCGAACCCACCAGCTTCTCTGCAGGAGAAAGATGTGGCAGTCGGCTTCCCTAAACATTACAGCCTTGGAAACCCTATGGGGCAGTTATACTCTGTCCTATAGGGTCACTATGAGTCGGAATCCACTCGACAGCAGCGGGTTTAGTTTCTGGTCTAGGAAATGGAGGCACAGAAAAGGCCAGGCCAGCCCCCTCGCCGCCTCCACGCGTCAGCTCTGCTCATCAGTTGTCCCTGATTTCTGTTCACACCCGACCCCACAACAAGGAAAAGCAGGGTTTTAGCCCATTTCAGGCCAAGCGGTGGTTTGAGCCAGTGGCGACAATAAACCTCCCAGTTTACTAACAATGAATCAAACGAGGAAGGCGGCTCAGGCTGGGCACCTACGCCAGGTGGGGGCTCCGTACCCAGAGCAACGGTGCCAGCCCACGCTGCAGGGGCGGCAACGCCCACCCGGCCGGGCTCGCGGGCCCGGCAACCCCTTCTCCCAGAGCCGGGAGGCTGTGCAATGCCCGCGGCTCCACCAGCCTGGCTGAGGGAACCCCAATACCGGCATGGCGCCCCCGCCCCCTTTTTCCCTTTGTTGTGCATCCGCCGAATCGCTGGTACTCTGCGGTGACCCCCAAATCTAGCCGGGGACTTCCGGGGGGGTCCCTGCAAAAGTCAAGCTGCATCCAACGAGCACTGAAGCCCCCTCAGCGGGGAACGGTGAAACCGAGTATTCAGGCTCTCTCGTCTCGCCTCCGGACCGCAGCACTAGAGGTTGCGGAGCGGGATGTAGATGTAGACGCCGACCTCCGTGGCAGCCCTCGCGGAACCCGTGCCAGGGTGCCTCCCGTGCGCCCTACCTGAATCCGAGGATCCACCTCCTCCTCCTCCTCCAGCCCCTGCTCCATGCCGTCTCCCTCCTCCTCCTCCTCCACGTTGCGAGCAGGCGGCGGGAGCTCGGCGGGCTCCTCGGATCGACTCCGCTTCAGCGACGCGTCCATGCAGGCAGGGGTGCGGTCGCCGCAGCCGGAACGCGAACTGTGCCGTGGGCTCCGGAGCGTCCGAGGGGTCGTGGCCGCCGCAGGCTCGCCTGAGCTACCTCGCCACAGCCCAGCACAGTCCCGGGAGCCGCCGCGGACTACACCCAGGAGCGCCGCTCGCCGATGCGGGTCGGTCCGGCCCAGGCGGAGCCGAGCGGAGGAAATGTGCGCGGGCGCCCCCTTTCTGTGCGGCCGGCAGCGCAGCGGCGCCCGCTCCGCCCTCGCCCGCCGCCCCTTGGTGCGGTGCTGACACCGTTCATGGGCCAGTCCCAATTACCCAGGTCTCCGTCACAAAAACCCCAGCTTCCCGAAGACCTCTAGGGAGATGAAATAGGACAGCCCCCGCCCCCTTTTAACTGAGCAGCAGGAATACGTTGCAAACTACCTAACGTTAGCCACCTGCTTTCGGGGTAGCTTTCTCTCTCCCCCCTCGACAAGGCAGATTTAGGGACGGGAGGAAAGTTGGGGGAATTTCCGCTCTCTGAAGTCACATTTAGAGGCCTGTACTCAGTGACCCTACATCAATTTTAAGGCTCGCTCAAGCCCCTGTCCCCTTGGGCCATCCTTGTGAGTTGTATCTACTTGGAGATTTCCCCAGAAAAGGAAACTGAAACATACGCACACATAGATACGCAGAGGGAAGTCCGCTGTGGCTCCATGCATGGATTCTTTTTCCAAAGGCTGTGGCCTCCGCTGGCCAGAGCTCCATGCCCAAACACCTGTACTTTCACGTCCATGAAGCATCGAGAATCCATTGAGTGTGGGTTTGGGTAGGTTGGTACCGCCTTTTCAGGGAAGCAGAGAGTTTAAGACCTGTTGATGGGCACACTCTAGCCAAGGAGTTATGAACTGGTGAGGTCTCCTGCCCACCCCTCAAGTAGGGAGCCAAAATTTGTCTAGGAAACTTGGCATCACCAAAGGCCAAACAAAAAGACATGTCTACGCTATGATGAAGTGTCAGGGCCACTGTGATGTCAGGGGGCCGCAAGGGCAGGTAACCTTGGCAAAACACTCCAGGGACATTGCCATTGATGCAGAAAGTGTACACTTTCTACACGGAGGCTTGTGGGCTATTGGCTCTGTGAGTCTGAAGAGCAAACTTACTTGAGAAGGGAGCTTCTTTCTGAGAACGTATGATTAAAGTCTTGAGGGCATTGGTGGTTTAGTGGTAGACTTCTTGTCTTTCATGCAGGAGACCCAGTTTCAATTCCTGGCCAATGGAGCTCATGTGCAGCCACCTCCCACTTGTCAGTGGAGGCTTACTTGTTGCTATCATGCTGAACAGATTTTTAGCAGAGCTTCTAGAGTAGGAAGAATGGCTTGGGGATCTACTTCTGAAAAATCAGCCATGATAAACCCTATGGAGCATAGTTCTGCTCTGACACACATGGGGTCGCCATGAGTCGGGGGAAAACTCGACAGCAGCTAACAACAACATTGTTAAAGCCACCTTGGAAAACCTACTTCTGATGGTTTGATAAGAAGCTAAGTTGTGGGGTTACTCCTTGGGCAAAGTACCACCCTACATGCCGGCATTATGGTCCACTGTCAAAGGAAATTGTCCTATCTCCTAGAGGTAGTACAGGTTTTTGAGGAGTGTTTTGTGTTTTGTTTCGTTTTTTCTAAAAAGATCACTGTAGTGCAAGCTTTATAGGGATTGGAACCCGTTCTAAAGGCCTTGCTATTCTGTGGAGAATGTTTTTGTTGACATTTGGATTTTCACGTGGAGGGTCCATGCCCCCTCCACATCATCACCCCCTCCCCATCTTTATCTGTTCATTGCTCTTTAATTTGGTGACCCAAGTATCTTCTCCTTTGAATTTTTTTGTTGATACCATGTGTTTTCACTATTGGAAGGCATGCTGATTAAAGAGCCAATTTAGAATTTTTGTTAGGATTTATGGATTTTATTGCCCATTATCGGGGTACACATATGTCCCAGCAGACACTGGACGTAGTAAATCCTACTGATATGAATCAATGATAAAATTGTTTTTTTGTTTTCTTTTTTAAAAAATTTTTATTTCTTGAATATTTGCAAAACATGAGGTAAAAAACATGAAGGCACCTGGCAATGACTGCACATACATTTTATTCTAGTCTCCTTTTTCTTAGCCTTTTCATTATTTTTCATGAAACTTTTAAACGTGGTCAATGCTTTCTTCCTTACTGCAAAAGCAGTACTTACAGCCCAAATAAATAAAACTAAAGGAATTTGAATCTCAGAAAAATTATCATTACTACCTAGTCTTCATTACAACAAAAGCAGTACTAACAGCTAAGAAGCAGAAACAGCAGCCCTGGAATATTGCAGACCTGCTCACAGCGGTGTATTCACCTGCTACATATGGAAGCAATGATTGGGCCCTAAGATTGAATGCGGGGTAAGAATAATTTACAGAAGTTTGAGCCTCTTGAAAAGTACCACTGCAATACATTATTCCTTCTTGCAAAACATTATTTACTGTTCGGAAGCTAGAAAAGCAGTCCTGAAAGATTGCAGAACAAAGACTCAAAGCAGAGAAGGGAGCCAGTGACACCTGGAAATAGTGAATGATATCAGGGAGAAAATGGCCACCATGACTGAATGAAAAAGACTTGTTCTTAGGTGACTTCGAGTTGGTTCCAACTCATTGCAACCCTATGGGACAGAGCAGAACTACCCCATTTGGTTTCCAAGGAGTGGCTGGTGGATTTGAACTGCTGACCTTTTGGTTGTTAGCAGCCAAGTTCTCAACCAGTATGCCACCAGGGCTCCTTGAAAAAGATTAGGAATAGCTTATTCTTGCAATATGTACATTCTTATGAGAACATAGTAACTGGGAAACACAGTGAGATTTATCTCACAGAAATAAAGGCAAACCTGTCAAAAGTTTACAAAATTCACACACCCAGGAGACATCACCTAACACAACACTCATTCTACACAATAATGAGGCTCCAACTCAGGGTTCTTAAATTTCATGCATTTCAAAAGGCTCCCACCTTGAGGTTAAACATGTTAAAATCAGACTACTGCCTTCACAAAGACTCTGTTGTTAAGCGCCATAGAGTTGGTTCCCACTCATAGCAACCCTATGTACAACAGAATGAAATACTGCCTGGTCCTGTGCCATCCTCATAATCGTTGCTGTGCTTCAGCTCTTGTTGCAGCCACTGTGTCAGTTCATCTTGTTGAGGGTCTTCCTCTTTTTCAATGACCCTCTACTTTACCAAGCATGATGTCCTTTTCCAGGGACTGATCCTTTCTAATAACGTGTCCAAAGTATGAGACGTAGTCTCGCCATCCTTGCTCCTAAGGAGCATTCTGGTTGTACTTCTTCCAAGACAGATTTGTTTGTTCTTTTGGCAATCCATGGTATATTCAATATTCTTCGCCAACACCACAATTCAAAGGCGTCACTTCTTCGGTCTTCCTTATTCATCTTCCAGCTTTCGCATGCATATGAGGCAACTCAAAACACCATGGCTTGGGTCAGGTGTACCTTGGTCTTCAAAGTGACATCTTTGCTTTTTAACACTTTAAAGAAGTCTTTTGCAGCAGATTTTCCTGATGCAATGTGTGGTTTGATTTCTTGACTGCTGCTCCATGGGCGTTGATTGTGGATCCAAGTAAAATGAAATCCTTGACACCTTCAATCTTTTCTCCATTTATCATGATGTTGCTTATTGGTCCAGTTTTGAGGATTTTTGTTTTCTTTATGTCAAGCTGTAATCCATACTGACGTGGTTGGGAAACCGTATGTCCCACGAGTCACCAAAGGGTTAAATTAAGGGAGGGTCAGCAGTTCTGGAAGAGATATTTTGAAGTTCCTTGCTGAAGACATAGTTGCTTTGGGCTTCCCAGTAATGAATCAAGGAAGGGACAAGATAGCCATTCAGGGTCACCTTGGGTTTGTGTCCCCAAGTGGGACACAAGAGATACCAGTATTTCCCTGGTGACTTTGAATTGAGCCAGTAACCGAGCAGGTTCATCCCAGCTATAAAGAGAAATACAGGGTCAGCCCTGACTCTAAATGCTTCTCAGCTGGAGGAACCACATCGTCACCATTCTAAACAACAGCCTCCAACGTACATTTCTGTTTGAGCATTGTTATTGTTGTGTGTTGTTGAGTCGATTCCGATTCATAGCGACCCTATAGGACTGAGTAGAACTGCCCCATAGGGTTTCCAAGGAGCGGCTGGTGGATTCGAACTGCTGACCTTTTGGTTAGCTGCCTGAGTTCTTAACTACTTCACCATTAGGGCTCCATTTGAGCATAGATCCAAGGATAATAGAATGGTTCAAAATGCCTCTAAGGGACTAGGGAGACTGCTCTAGAGGATCAGTTTAGACATTTGTTGTCTTGTTTTTAGGATACCTGGGCCAGTTTATAGTGTTACTTCTAATAGTGTTTCTAAAGTTAAAAGTCAGGAAGATAAATAAATCAACCATGAGCAGTACTACATATTTTCTGTTGGTACATATACATGCACAAAAATGCATAGAAAAGGGCCTGGAAGGATCTATACCAAACGAAGAGTGGTTACCCCTGGAAAGGAGGAGTAAGGAGGGGCCCAGAATTGGCTGGGATTGAGGGGTCAAAGAAACTTTTAGTTTCTAGGCCATGTTTTCATTACAAGGATGTACTTATGATTATTTGTGTAATTTAAAAATAAATTTTAAATAATATGTACTGTTTTCTATTGCTGTGTAACAAATTACCACAAACTTAGAGGCTTAAGAGGAGCTCTGGTTGTGCAGTGGTTAAAGCGCTCGGCTGCTAACCAAAAGGTCAGCGGTTCAAGCCCACCAGCCAGTCCTCCAGAGAAAGATGTGGCAGTCTGCTTCCGTAAAGTTTACAACCTTGGAAACCTTATGGGGCAGTTCTGCTCTGTCCTACAGAGTCCCTATGATTCATAATTGACTCGACAGCAACGGTTTTATTTTCTTTAGTGGCTTAAAACAACACTTATTATCTCAGATTTCTGTAGATCAGAAGTTCAGGCCTGATATGGCCGGGTTCTCTGCTCAGGGTCTCACAAGCTGAATTAGGGTGTCAACCAGGCTGTGTTCTTTTCTAGACACCCAGGGGAAAGAATCCATTTCAGACTCATCCAGGTTATTAGTCAGATTCAGTTCCTTGTGGTTGTAGGACTGAAGTCCCCGTTTCCTAGCTGACTGTCAGGGGGGCAATCTCAGCTCCTGCATTGCTTGCCACCTGCCCCCGTCCAATTTCAAAATAGCAGCTGAAAACCTCCCTTGTGTCAA